AATACACAGATAGTGATTCTGGTCCTGTTTCAGTCCTGACTGCTGGACTTTCTGGAGTGGTCCTTAACGGGTTAGGTCCTGCTTAGAAACCAGGACTTGTTTTTTCACAGCATCTGTGAATCTGGGCCAGTGGAACAGTACGCCTCCTATAGATACGCTTGTGTGATGGGTTTCTGTTGCACACAGTCAGTAAGAATGCTGACTGAATATAATGGTCTTTTCTATAAGCAGCAACGTTTGGTAATTGAAGACTTTTGTCCCTTGAGAGGAGAGGGGGGATACCAATGAAACAAACATGATTCACAAAAAGAAATGACTCTGAGTAGAAGTTAAATATTTCAAACAGATAGGTTTAGCATGGCCACATGGACTGGCTTTGGATCCGTGGTCAGCTGAGTGACCCCTGTTGGACGTCACTCTGAAAACTCCTGCTCCGGTTGGCTGTGGGCACGGCTCTGGACAGAGAACACAGGGGTAGGGACCTGCCTCCCGGTTGGTTCAGCTCCATGTTTGAGTCAGTCTTCCTCACAGGTGTCCTTCCCCAATTAGCTCATTTGGTTTTGTGCGGTTGTTGCTTTATTGTGTGTGTTGGGGCTCTCATTATGTGTGTGTGTGTGTGTGTGTAGATAAGTCAGCTTGTCTCCAGGTAATGGGATGGTGTGGACTGGATTTGGTGAAAGCGTTTGATAAAATGAGAGTGAAAATAGTAGTTATGACATTTTTATTACACTTTTATAAGATGTACCATTTTTCACCTCAGGATAAAAACTGTATCTTAAATATTAAGTGGCCATGAATTAAAACCAATCCAATATTGAGTCGGGCCATGTATTTCAGAAGCTCTCCTGCCATGCTCTGACCACTCTCCTAGCCCAGACTTCCCGTCCCATTACCTGACTTTACCTGCTTTAGCAGGTGTCAGCCTCCATTGTAATCTGCATTAATTTAGCTAATTCATCACCATTCTGCAGCTGGGACTCACAGGTCCAGAGGAGACGTACCCTTAGACACAAGGCTGTTTTTCACCATCATTTGTTTGGATTTGTTTGGACTGATATTCCCATCGAATGATCCTGTTTAGATAAAAATTAGAAAAAAATATATGTAGAATCCTATTTCAATTCTTATATTCGGTCATATTTCGCCATGTTCCCCATTCTCACTTACAGACTCAAGGGTCACTAAGATGAGTTACATGTTGGTGTGTAACAATGCCATGTACCAGACTTTTGCTCAGATTCTCAGTCATCCAGTAAACCTCCTGTTGAGCCTGAGTTAAAGCAGACGGTCTTCTCTCCAACGCTGCTGCAGAGAGCTGCTCAGGGCTGGTATCAACAGACAAACCCAGTCCGTTTTCAGAAAGTACTGAGCTAGATCTTTCTTCTGTGATCACCAGTGTCTGGACCTCACCGCCTTACCTGCATATTTGGGGTCAGATGGACTTTTCTGTCTTTTCTCCATTGAATTTGGTTTCTTGTTTGTGTTTTCGTTTGTTCATTTCTTCGTGTTCTCAGACTCATTCGTGCGTTCTGTTCCTCGTTCTGCTGTGGTTCATTTCCAGTGTCCTCGCCCCCGTCCTCAGTCTGCTGTTGGGGCTCCTCTTTTCTTTTTTCTTTTTTTTTTTTTACCTTGTCCTGTTCAGCATTATGGCAGCAGAACTAAAATCTGAGTATCTTTCTATGCTGAACAAAATAGCTTTTCCAAGGGAGGCTTTGTTAGTGGTAACCCCCCTTGATTACCCAATACTTCTTTATTTATTCATATTTGTTACCAAACTTCCGTGTCCAATAATGCCGAACCTGACAGACGGAAGAAAGCAGAGCAGTGGAAATGAGAGAGATCCTTTAGACGGAAAGAGGGAGGGAAAAAAAACTAAACAAGGGCTCCTCATTAACTCCAGTCACCTCTCACCATCATTCCACTCATCACTCTTCCTCTCTTACTCTTTCCACTCTTTCTCCTGGACTCCCCTCATCCGTGTCCACCCTTCAGGTTTCCTTTGGTCTTTGCCTTTCCTCTGTAGTGTTAGAATTTAGATTTTGTTTCTCCAGTTAAGTTTAACGTTCACTATCCAGCTCTGCCGCGTTACTCGTCTCTTTTTTGTTCTTTTACATTTAAAACGTGGTCATCTCTGGCCTGCTCCCTGTCTCTGGACAGCCACCCTGCATTTGAGTCTGTTTGTGTTGTGGCTCTTTGGAGCAGTGAAGTGGATCATCATGCTGAAAGCTATTTTAACTTTAACATTAACACCACAGTGGGCTTATTGTATATCATCTGCCTCTTTGAGTTTTATCTGAATCATATTTTTAATATGAAAAACACTATTCCATAACAACATTTTCTCACAACCTTTTTTCACTGAACCTTTTTTCTTTGTCTACTTTTCGATAACCATACAAGTGACATCAAGGCATTTTGTTTTAATTAAATGATACAAACCCATCAAATGTAGTTCTGTTCCAGGTTTTAATAGAACATTATTGGGAAAAAACAGAGGGAGAAAATAGCTTTTGTAGATCCTGTGGATCTAAATGGAACAAGGCAGACTTGGACTGTCAGGGAATTCTGGGGGAAACCTGGCGTGGGATGGAGGGATGGAGTTCTAAAGGAGGACAGGAATCTGTAGCGTACTGCTGGAGGCTTCAGTGAGGCATTAAACATCTCACATTACATGTACTAACTCTAACATTTTCTTACAAGGCTGAACACTGGTCACAAAGTTGATATTAGGAAAAGAAAAGCGTACTATTTTTTGATGATGAATATCTACTTATCTAAACTAAATGAAAGAGTTTGGGATTGTGTTTTAGTGCGTTGTCCCTGCTTAGTAGGGTAAAAGGAGCTTGCTCTAAGTCTACTATTTGCATTTGAAAGCCGCTGCTTTGAGTCCAAAACATCCAACTAAAAGATGTGGGCCATCCTTTGGCAGGAAGGACTCGGTGGTGAGATTAGAAACAGGAGAGTGTGGATGTCGGCTGTCATCAGGGTTCTTTCAGCGATGAAGAAAAAACCCTTCACAACATTTTCCAGGGGGTGGGCACATCTTTATCCACAAGTGGTACAAAGAGAAGACATTGCATGGGAGTTTGTTACAAGGTGCATGTAACTCAGAAGACTAAAGAATAGAAACGTGGAGATAAAAGCTGTTTTACAATGAATATGAAAAGAAGACATGCTCTAGGGATGACACGGTCCCTGACCCCCCCTCAATCCGAGCACCATTCTGAACCATGTATATAAAACAAGAAACAGAAACACAAGACCCATTCTGGAACAGTCTTCTTTGGACTATGCAACAAAGAATTTAGGGATGAAGCTATGCAAAAGGCTTGGAATGTCTCATGATCCAGACATACATCACGGTCTGTAAAGGATAAAGGACAACAGGAGGACATGCACATCTATAAAGACAGAAGCAGACACAGCTAGACAGAGACACTTCCTAAGTCTACTGGGATGTTCAGTCTGCTCGACCAGATTAATGGAACTACGTTTCAGCTAAATAATCACACATAACACTTCCAGTTTTTAAAAAACAGGGTCGAACTGAATCAAATATAATACCATTTGGGAATTACATAAAATAAATATCAGCCTTTGAGGATTCTATCTTTTAAAAAGATGTACAGATAGCTCCTGAGCTATATCTTATGTTTAAAATTAATACCTTGAAATTAAAGCTTAAAGCTTGAAGCCGGCACCTTAACCCCATAACTATCAAAAAAGTCTTGCTCAGTTATGTTCTTTTGCTAATGCAATGCAAAGGTTTGCTAAAAGTTTATAAGTATTAGCACTTGGTTTTATATTATGCAAGGAATTTACAGGACTGGGACTAGATTTTACTTACAGCTAAGGAAGTTCAATTTATTGCTGCTTTTCAGAGAACATAATAAATTGGAAACATATATGCAGTAAATTGTACAGCTGCCTATCCTATAATGAAAATAAAGACAATGCTCTGGCTCAATGAAATAAAAAGGATCCAATACTTATGCCTGAGCTTATTATTTTACCGGGTCTGCAGATACATGTGGTAAAAAAAAAGAATGGATAAAGGTATTTTGAGGCTCTTGTGGTCTTTATTTTGCAAGTTGCTTGACAGCAAAGAGGGAAGAGAAGGGGGGATGAACCTAAATCTTGGCCAGCTGAATTTAGAACCTTCAGCCTCTGTACATGGGATGAATTTTCAACCAGTTTAGTTCCCCAGCTCCTCAAACTTGTTAATTCTATTAAGAGTAGTAAGAGAGGCATCGTTCCACCATAGGGTAGTGATGTTGGAATTCAATCCTGAACTTTTCCTTCTCCTCAAATGTAGGTGCAACCTGCCTATAGTTTTAATAAAGTGCCTTCAGAGTTGTGCAGATTTAGTAAACCAACTCAGCCTTTGTACATATTTAGAGATTCAGTATTTACAGAAAGAAAAAATTCAAAAGTTTGAAATTTTGCAAAGGTACAAACTTGTGTATTTTATGTCTGTGTGAGTGAGTGTGTGTGTTGTTTTTGTGAAAGATTAGCTTTTGCATGTAGTTTGCACTCATTTTCGATGACATCACTGTTACAGTTGTTCACACCTCCCTTTACATCTTCCCAGTCAAAAGGGAATCGGGATAGGATAGCTATCACAGACACATCTGTAATACTTTTAAATCTTGTTCATTTAGAGGTGATAAAGAAACGCTTTGAGGCCGTTTGTTGTGTTTTTGAAGTATGTTGCATTCTTGCCCTCTCCCAGGATCAAGAATGGCATTTTGGATGAATGTCAATTCTTCTGAATGGAACTGGAGTCTTCTGAATTCACATGCAGGGACAGTCATGCAGAGTTCAGCCTAAGGAAACGCTGTCACACGTACTTACAATATTAACGAGCTGGAAAAGCTTTTGACAGCATTTGCTTCATGGTCCATTTACAGGTTCACATTACATCTGAGAGGGAAGAATTTGCCACAGACCAACTGTAGGTCATTACATGATGTGTCAATGATTTAGTTTCCACTACGAATGAGACTGCTTTTTTAAAATCTACTGCATCATTAAAAGGTTTCAGCTTTGTAGTTATATTTCGTTTGCTAGGTTTCTTTTTGAGGAGAAATCGTTAACCCTTGTCATTATCTATGTCTGGCTCCTTCGTCCTCTCCTCTTCCTCTGGAGCTAGACCACGTCGGACTCCACCACGCATTGCTCCGTGTACTCCTTCACCAGCTCCACATGCAGAGTGCTCTGGCAGAAGTCGGCCATGTTCTCCCAGAGCGCCGGCTCCAGGAAGAGCTGGCACATGACGTGACCCTTCAGCGCGGCCGTGTGGCGCTGCAGGTGGCACAGGAACTGCTGGAGGACCAGGCTCAGGTCCTTACCGAACATGTCGATGTTCAGGTAATACCTGGGGAAAAAGAGACAAAACAGTGGGCTGAGCAAAGAACACGTCATTTTAGAATAAAGACAAATATCAAAGCTGGGTCGGTGAGCAGTGTTGGGGAGTAACGGATTACATGTAACGACAAAAAAAGAGTAACTGTAATTCGTTACAGTTACAATGAGAAAATATGTAATTCAGTTACAGTTACTTCCGAAAATATTAAGAATTACAAATTTAGTTACATTTTTTAAAAAATATAAAGAAAAACCTTTGCAAAATATGCAGCTCACTGATAGACGAAGCGTATTCATTTACTAATATTTGACTGTTTGGTGTTGATGCATGACAAACGTTTATCGATGTCTATGACCTAGCCTAGCCTACCTAGCCTACCTAGCCTACCCAACTGTAGGGTGACCAGACGTCCTCTTTTTCCCGGACATGTCCTACATTTCAGACTAGGGTTGTCAAACGTATCGATACTTAAAAAAGTATAGATACTAAAATGTTGTATCCGGATACGACTGACTTGTCTCTGATTTATTTATTTATTTATTTATTTATTTACGTTGTTTATGATCATTAACAAGACGTTAGCCTTGAACTGCTAGCTGCGGCCAATAGCTAATAATAACATGCTAAAATTAATCATGGGTCAATACTCATTAAAACCTTAAAGTAATCAAAAAGTAATCAAAAGTAATTAGTTACATTACTTTTTAAAAGTAACCGAAAAAGTTACACTACAATTACATTTTAAACGAGGTAACTTGTAACTGTAACGGATTACATTTTTAAAGTAACTTACCCAACACTGTTGGTGAGACACATTATTCTATCATTCTGGAAAAATTCCAGAACCTTCCCAACTGAAATAGTTTGAAAGCATCTGGTCTTGGCCATGTCAAGAACCTTTAGCAAACACTGATTGAGGAAGATTTGATTTAAATTTAGTGTCCTCTCTCATAGCCCCTGGGTCTCCTCTTCTTACTTGCCAGCCCCCTTTTTCCCACACGGTCAAACTCTCTTCTTTATTTATGACGTCACTTTATGCACACTTCCAGCCATTCAGCCTCTTTTCCTCTCCTTTTTACACTTGTGTTACTCATGCATCACACATTCCACCCTCCTGCCAACTGCATTCTCTCCTCCAGACCCGGACAAAGCTTAGTCCCAGCCCACCACCAGGGCACCGGGGTTTCCCATCATGCTCCACATCACGTCCTCTGTGATGCTGTGCGGGGGTCTAACTGGCAAAACCTTGTTCTAATATTGTTTATCAATCTTCATTCCAACATTATTTTCTTAAATCTTCTATCATCATGCCCATAATAAATGTCTTAAACTCCCACTTGAGCTGTCCTGACTGAATTTTACTTATAGAAAATCCAACCAAGGCAGACTGGCTAATTACGGCTCTTATAGAGAAGGTTTTCCTATTGGCTGCTTTGTTTTGAATGATCCCAATAGTTTTGTCTTCAATGACGAAATATTGGCTACATGTGGTCAAATGCACATCCCCCTGAGTCAGACTTTTGTTTTAAAGCAACATTTGTGTGATAATATAAATCTAGTACTCTGTCCTATGTCTACAGAGACGGGCAGCAGAGATATTTTTTGTAATATTGTACACAGATCTAACACACTGGAATATCTGCTAAGGATTATGAATAGGAAGGACCGTTTACCAGTCGTTTCCAATGGGCACCCGGAATGGGAAGGTGCACAGGCTGGCCACTGTGGGATTGGCTTCATCGTCCACCATCCAGTCGATGTCCTTCTTCAGAAGGATGGACAGGTTGCTGGGCAGCAGCTTGAAGGGCTGCCAGTCCTGTATGATGGTCGCGTTGGGGAGGACTCCATGCATCACGTCAGTCGTCAAATACAGTTGCTTGATGGCCGTGTCGTCGAGACGCACAGGAGAGGGCTTTGGGGAGGAGGTGGACTGGGAGGAATGAAATCCACCACTCGAATTAAAATCAGACAGGCGGAATTTCAGTTCTTCGGCTCTGAAGCGCACCAGCAAAATACCCTAGAGAAAAGAAGAGCAAAACAGCGCAATAGAAACAATGAAGGAAAGAAAGACTCAGATTACAGCTCAACTATAAGCTAGGTAGCATTAACCCTGGTGTGGTGTTCGGGTCTGTGGGACCCACAAAAGAAAAATGATTCAATGAATTAATTTTTTAAACTGAAACTCGCTGGCTTTGGCTCATTTTCTGTGAAGAACATACATCAGAATTCATATTTAATGCCCACACACCGTACACCCCCCCTACACATTTCTATTACATATAAGATGTTCGGGTCCACCGGACTCGGGGCTAAAAGAAGTGTAGAAATGGATGTTCTGTGAACCGCACACAGACACACACACACGCACTCACAATGTTGCAACCTTGTGTGGGAACCCCAGGTGCACAAAAACAAAAGAAACGGTTCCCATACATTGTTTGTCTGCTCTAATTTTCTCGCACATTTCACCCTCTATCTATCTGCTAGAGTGGTTTCTTATAACCGATCAAGAGGGCCAAAAGGTTCTCTGACCAGAGGGCCTGGGAGTGATTTTGGATGAGAGAGAGAGAAGTTAAGATAAGGTAAACATCTGTTCAGTATTTTAATATAAAAGTCTTTTAATATAAAAGTGATTTTGAGGCATTAAAAGCCACAAAATGCAACGGGTCCGTCAGACCCACGAACACTGGCTGAGTAACAACAATATGAACACCACACAAGGGTTAAACAGCATGAACCACCCGTGAGGAGGAGTCTGCCTACCTGCTTGGTTATGACGCGGTACTTCTGGAAGTCCTTGGGCCCCAGCTGATCATCCCGGGTCAGGCGGGTCACTTTGACCTCGGGGTACTTGGACTTGACCAGCTCGGCACAAAAGCGCAGCAGAACTCCGGCCACACCTTTCCCCCGCTCCTGGGGGGCCACACGCAGCCCCTCCACAAGCATGGTCTCCCCATCGTCGATCACACACACCGACTCCAGAGCGATCTGCCACAAAGGACACGTGTTCTTCAGTAACTGGGACTTTTCCCTTAAACACACACATATGTACGTATGCCTGTGTACTACACTTTAATGCTTTATTACTTAAAGCCACCACTTGTCCAGAGACGGTGTGTGATGATCATGTACAAAAAGAAAAGCATGTAATTTACCCCTTCATCGGGTGTTCTATAAATCATTCTGAACACAGCAATAATGAACAGCATCACGTGTCTAAGCGCATTGCTTTAAGGACATCACTTCAAAGTTTTGAGATTTCTGTAATTCACTTGTTCGTCTATCCATCTGTTCTATCTTTTACGCAGACCTTCCTCTTTTTTTATTCTTGTATCTTTCAGTTACTTGTTTTTCATTTGCAGATAGATTTCGTATTATGCTATGACTACATTACAAGATATTTTCAGGATTATATTCCAAAAACATTTTGTTGTTGTAAAACTGATAATATGTTCAATATTAACGTCAAATATTAAATATACGTGAATACTTACCACTTTCCCCTGTTTGCGGGCCAGTATAACCGTGCGATTAGTGTCCTGCAACCAGCTGGTGTATCTGGTGGGTAGGTAGTCGAGGCCTCCGTATATGTCCTGGCTCATAGACATAATTTCATCAAAATCCTCCTCAGCGGCCACAGCGAACTGGAGGCCAGCCTGGGACAGGGACTCTGGGAGTTCGGGCATAGTCAGGCCGGTATCGATCTTCATCTTGAAATAACTAATTAGATGGGAAAAAAATCAAGGGAGAGATATTTAAGAACATCATTAATCAAGTGTGACACATATCCAGCGATATTCTCAATCCAGTCAACCCACTCTCAAAATAGAATTTAGTAAAGGTCAGAATTTGCCCAAACTGTTATACTCTCTGGAGCAAAACACACTGGTTTTATACTGTTCATTCATATCTTGATATGGTTCAGAGCAGCTGTGTGTTTGTTGCTGGAATAGGCACAAAAACATCAATTACTATTCAGGCAACAAGGCGTTGTGGTACCTTTCAACCGCTAACCTTCAATGTGAAATAATATTAAATCATTTCTTCTCCATCAGCCTGTGTGCACAGGCATGGGGTACGAGATCTTGACTGAGAAAAAAAAGGACAGGTTTTTTTATTCACACATATGAACACAGTTTTCCTCAGTTTGCCATGGAAACAATGAACATGATTCAGTTTAAACCAAATGAAGATGAATCAAACATGAGACAGGTGATAACATGCATAAACACTGGTAGGGAAAAAAAGATGCTGAGCTTGAAAACATTTGATGTCCTCAGAGTTGTATCTATTAAGTAGATACTAAAAATGTACTTAGACTCAAGTTACGGCTACTTCAAAGACAGCTCCTGGCTACTGAATTCAGAAGGGCCGAATACCTTTGGAAAAAGAGAAAGAAGAAAGGGTTGTTTGACCAGGAAATGAAAGGGCAGCTTAAAGCAACAAAGTCAGAAATGGAGAAGCATCTAAAGGATATAGATATTGAACAGTGTAGAGTAGTGGGCCTTCCCCCAGATATGCCATCATTAGGAGACATAATTCATGAGATGGATGTTACACCACCCAGGTGGAAGGAGTTATGAGGTAGGTCAGGCGTGCAAAGACTTCGGCCCCAGGACCAAACAGAGTTAGCTACTGTCGTTATAAAAGCGCAGCTAACATTTAAAAGTTTTTGAGGAGGCAAATAAGAGGAGTTTGGGAGAAACTGTTTATTCCAAGGGCATGGTGTAGGGCGGGAGATGTTCTTATTCTAGATAAGAAAGAGCCCTTGGACTGACTTGGACTTGACTTGGAGTCAGGCTTTGTGGCAAGGTATTGGTGTATGATTTCTCCATTGGCATTCACCATGGTAATGGAGATAATCATTACAGTTACTACGTGGGTTGCTCCTCTTCCTGGTTGGGTTTGGGCACAACCCACTTGAATTCCCCAGTCTTGAATCCAATAATGGCAGCTCAGAAGAAAAAAGAAAGTCTTCAGCAAAGAGAGATTGTGAGTATTGTTCGAAAAGGCTAGGGAGGCTTTGGGCTTGGCCAAGGCAAACTGGTGTGGAGTAGAGCAGGTCCTAAAAAGAAGAGGAAGCTTGTTGTGGAGCAGGTTCGCAGTCAGAAGGAAATGTTACGGGTACAAAGGCAGTGGCTCAGGCCAAGGTGTGGAATATGGAAGAAAGTATTAATACTTTTTGTAGGGGCAGCATATGTATTGCCATTTCCCCTGAACCCAAAACTCTGGATAAATGGAGAAGCTTAACAGCAGGTATTGGAGATCAAATACAGCAGGTTTGTTTAGGTGTGTCTATGAAAAAGTGAGTGACAGTTCAGTTTGTTCCAGAGGGGGAGAAAGTTGATAAGACAACAAGGAGACAGCCAAGGGGATGCTTTTGATTGGGAGATGCAGGTAGATTTAAGAGGAAAGCCTCTTGTTCCCCAGGGAATAGCCTCTTCAGGTCTAAGGCCAGGGTGATATGGTGGTGTGTTTCTTAGCACGTGTTAGGTTAACTAGACACTACAAATTGTACCTAGTGTGGTTGTTTTTCTCTGTGTGGCCCTGCGATGGACTGGAGACCTGTCCAGGGTGTACCCCACCTCTCGCCTGTTGTCAGCTTGGATAGTTTCCAGCCCTCCCCCCCCCCCCAAGACCCCGGTGGGAGGGGGGTAAAAAAATTGGATGGAAGGAAGTTTAAGGCCTGATGTAGTCTTGAATCTATTTCATAGAGCTGACAGTAACTTGGTAAGTAGTAGATGCATATGAGAGGTACATTTAGGTATGTCAAGTTATGAGTACAATCAGAGCAGCAAGGATGGAAAGTTAGGATTTATCCAGTGAAAGAAGGATTTGCGAGATTTGATGAGGTCTGTTGTCTCGTTGTTGTGGGAGTTGGGTGTCAGTGGACAGCGTGTGAGATAAATAGTAGGAAGGAAACAAAAGAAGGAAATGTCAAATGAAGCAATGAGGTCCAGTCAGTAGATTTCAAGTGGAAGTCTTAATCGTCCAGTAGGTGAAGCATGTGGGGAAGACAGACTTTTTGCAGAGACGGGGAAGAAATCCAGGAGGAGAAAGTGTGTGGCCTGAGGGAGCCTCTCTGATACCATGCAGTTATTCCAGGCCAGTTTTGCTGTATGGCCTTGTAGTTGCTGGTATTCAATGATTGTTTTTTAGGTTGTCTACTCTTTGGATGAGTTTGTCTGTTGAAACTCCGAATGTGTCTTTTTCTGCATCCAAATGAGGGTCTGTATTTCATTCCTACTAATATTTATCCTTCCATATCTACCCCCTACCCTAGCCAGGGTATGTATCCCCATCCTGCTTTTACTTGTGTAATTGGTGAGAGGCTGGGGTAGCTGGTCAGAGTGG